TGCCCACATTAAATATGGCCACCAAGCTCCACTCTTTTTTACTACCTGATCTGAGGCGACAACTCTGTTCCCACGCCCAGTTCCGAAAGGGCCTGCTCCTGCGGGCTTGTGTTCTGAGTGCGCACGCGCGAAAGCAAGTCCTCTTCCGGGCAAAATGGCGATGGGCTTGATGTGCGTACGCCGGGAGCTTGTGCGCCTTCTACGGCCCCAGCGTCAGGTAAAGTTGTACCCAAACTGAGAGCCAGGATGCTGCCCTGCCCCCGCACCCTACGCCGGGGACAGGAGCAGCCGCTGACCTGGTTACCAGGATCTGAGTGTCATGACCTCGGGTTACGTCTTGGTCTCGGAGGGCTCGGTGGCCCCGTTATGTTGTCGGTTTCCAGGGATTACCTTACCCCGGGTCAAGTTCTCCGCAGCCTCGGGCCTGGACCCCGGAGTGGGTCTGCGGGAACTGAGGTCAGGAAACTCCTGCTTGAGCTCCACCCTATATGCCCCAGTTGCATGCCTTCAGGCCGGCAGTCTGCAAGAGTAGAGCAGCAACGTGCTCGCCTGGATGGCAAGCTGTCTGCTTCTTGACGGGTGATCCTAGTGAATACCCTGTGGCCTCACGCTGGGCCTCTGCTTCCAGCATAGACATTCCATTATCCTTTCATCTGATTAGTTCCACAGTATCGTAGAGTCCTCGCAGTGGCCGCGGAAACCGCTGAGAGAGGGGCTCCAGGTCCCAAGCCACCCGGGCTGCAGGCAGCCGCATTATGTCCTCCTCACAACCTCCAGCCACCGCTGCCTCAGTACCTCTGCCATTTCATTTGCAGAAGCCCAGGTAACGAGCCTTTGGTTCCTACTTCTTGGATAGTTTTGTTTTGTTTTGTTCGAGGGGCAAGAGGAATATGTAGCAGGGTTCTTTCCCACGTTTCACCCAGCTTCCCAAAATATTAGCATCTGCTTGGAATGGATTTTTAACTCGGTGGGGAAATGATTGAAGTACATCAATAAGAGATTTATGTTATATTCAAGGTACTCTTTGCCAGAGTAATGCTAAGCTAATGATGGTAATATGAAAAATGACTCCAGGTTTGTGTATTAGGAAAACTATAATTTGCTAATAAATACATGATTTCATGGATGCTGTTTCTTTTTTCTTTTTTTTTTAAAAGAGAGAGAATTTTTTTAATGTTTATTTTTTTAGTTTTCGGCGGACACAATATCTTTATTTGTATGTTTTGCTGAGGATCGAACCCAGGCCGCATGCATGCCAGGCAAGCGCACTACCACTTGAGCCACATCCTCAGCCCCGAGGCGACCAAGTGGGGTTTTTGGTCATAAAAAGTGAATTGAAGGCTGAGGGTGTAGTTTAGTGGTAGAGCACTTTCCTGCATGCAAGAGACCCTGGGTTTAGTCCCCAGCCCTGAAAAGAAAAACAGTTCAGTTAAAAAAAAAAAAAAAAACTGATTTGATTTTAAAGATAAATTGTGTGATAGTTTATTTCAACATATGGGGGAAATTGTAATAGTGATAGATGACTGAAGTTCAGGAAACAGTGATTTTGAGAAGTAACTTCCCAGGATGAAAAGAAGTCATGAATTCTTACTTTAAATAATTTATCTTCCTGCCTAGTAGTAAAAAATATGTCCTTTTTAAGCATGAATTCTGTGGACATTGTAAGCCAACCTGGGAGAACAAGAAAAGGAGTCGAGAAAACAGAATCTAGTATTTATTATCATAGAGGACCTCACTTTCTGTGAGTCCTATTTAATAAATACACCCATGGCTTCCTTTCACATAGGTCCAAGTACCTCCTGTTGTTCCTGCAACTCCTTCACCCACAGCAGTACCTGAGGTGGCTTCTGGAGGAACTACAGATACAATCCAAGCTGTTGCAGAACAGAGCTTCGCTGAACTGGGACTAGGGTCATACACTCCAGTGGGATTGATCCAGAACCTCCTGGAATTTATGCATGTTAACCTGGGCCTTCCTTGGTGGGGGGCCATTGCAGCATGTAAGAAAAATATATCCTGGACACAGGTAGAATGGGGACCTAGGGATAGAACCTTAAAGATGGCATTTCTGTGAGAAGATTAAGGAAATAGGTGCAGGAATATAAGAGTCAAACAGATAATTCAAGTGAATGGTACAGGTTCATGAAGCTTAGGTACACTCTATTTTTATTTCCTGAAGAGCATTATAAAGTGGCTTAATAATCTAAGATTCAAGAAGTATAGATATTTGAACATGAGCAGGGAGTTGAAGTAAGAGGGCCTTATTAACAGTGATGCAGCTACCCTGGTTTAAGAGAATAGTCTGATCAGGCACTGAAACTCCCAAATTAGGAAGGTAACCACGTTCCTCTTGTTAAGGTTTAAATTATGCTTTGAATTCTGTTTCTTTCTACACCTTGCTCCTTAAATTATCTCCTCTCTCCTGTGTCTTCAACTTACTTCTGAGTTCTGGGCCCTTTGGGCATGAGTCACAGTATAGAAAAGGCTGAAATAAGAGAGACTTTTATCATTGAGGACTTAAAGAAATCTTCAACCTTCTAACTACAGAAGTGCTTTAACTTCGTTTTAATTCTAGTTTGTGTTTTTCAGGTACAGTCCTTGCCCGCTGCCTCGTTTTTCCTCTCATCGTGAAGGGCCAGCGAGAGGCAGCCAAGATTCACAACCACTTGCCAGAGATCCAGAAGTTTTCCACTAGAATCAGAGAGGCCAAGTTGGCAGGAGACAATGCTGAGTGTAAGTCAGTTACAGTATGAATGTGAGAGGACCACATTTGCAGACATTCTCCTAGGGGAAAGAGACAACCTAAACTAGGAATTGCAACATTTGGGCAAATTCTAAAGATTTACTGTTTCTCAGGCCTAACACTTTCAGGGACTGTCCAAGGTTAATTAGAAATTTCATGGGCCAGGTGTTCACCCTCACCGACATAACTGTTAGCCCAACCATTAATTGTGCCTCACCTCCCAGTTTACAGGGCCTCCTCGGAGATGACACTTTACCAGAAAAAGCACGATATTAAATTCTTTAAACCCCTCATTCTGCCTCTGACTCAGGTGAGCAAAAACATTTCCCTCCTTATTTCATCAAATGGCCTTCTCTGTATTTTCCATGCCCCAGACCTCCACAAAAGCAGTTGGTAGTGATATACATGGCTTTCAGTGATGGGGTACTGAAAATGTCCCCTCTTTTAAAGTTTGCTGACACTGCTTATCCTGTGTAATAGGCACCAGTCTTCATCTCCTTCTTCATTGCCTTGAGAGAGATGGCCAACCTTCCTGTGCCCAGTATGCAGACAGGTGGCCTCTGGTGGTTCCAGGATCTCACTATATCTGATCCCATCTACATGTTACCGATAGTAGTCACTGCTACAATGTGGGGTGTCCTGGAGGTAAGCCCAAGTTGGCCAAGTACCAGGCCTGCAACATAAATTGGGAGTAGGGAGTAAAGTGGCTGGAAATTTCCCTGGAGAAATAGTCAGTGGGTAAGACCAGATTACTAAAACTGACATACGTTCAAAACTCCTTTTCTCTGCTCCCTTGTTTTGTTTTTGGCAGCTAGGTGCTGACACAGGTGTGCAAAGTTCTGACCTTCAGTGGATGAGAAATGTTATCAGAGTGATGCCCCTGGCAGTCTTGCCCATAACCATCCACTTCCCCTCGGTAGGTAATGGCTTAGGAAATGACTCCAAGTCCTCCCATCTAGTCCAGCCACCAGGAATGCAGTCTCTGAAGACCTTCCCTTTATTCTCACCTAGGCAGTGTTCATGTACTGGCTGTCCTCCAATATGTTTTCCCTGGGCCAAGTAGCCTGCCTCCGGATTCCAGCTGTACGCACTGTACTTAAAATACCCCAGCGTGTTGTGCATGACCCTGACAAATTACCTCCCCGGGAAGGCTTCATAAAGAGCTTCAAACAAGGTAAGGACATGAAGAGGGGAAAGTGGTCTAAAAAAATGGGAATGGGACTAACAGTTGAGCTCCTCCTTACCCAGGCTGGAAGAATGCTGAAATTGCACATCAGCTCCGTGAGCGTGAACGACGCATGCAGAACCACTTGGAGCTAGCAGCCAGGGGTAAATAATCCTTTCAGGCTAAATTCTGCCTTACAATTCTTCTTTTTCTTTGCTCATTGAGATTTATTTTCTCTTCCTCCAGGTCCCTTACGGCAGACCTTTACCCACAACCCTCTACTACAGCATGAAAAGAATCACCCTCCCAAAACCCCCAGCAGCAGCAGCAGCAGCAGCAGCAGCAACAGCAGCAGCAACAGCAGCAAACCAAAGTCAAAGCAGCCCTGGCGTGACACACTTGGCTGACTTGTGTTCCCTGCTCATTCTGTCAGAAACTCTTGTCTCCTCAAAGAACCATCCTAAAGACAGACTTGATGCTTTGTCCTTGTATCAGGCCTAGGAACTGTAGGATGTGGAGATGTTCATTTAAAAAACTGATTCCACTACAAACTCTTATTCCTGCATATAAAAGTACAGGGGAGCCAAGCAATCTTCCTTTCCACAGGATTAGGAAACCTCTGTACTACATGCTGCTTTCTTATATTTTATTAAACAGAGAAATGGATTGTGTACTTCAGAGAAATGAATAGGTTGGGTCAAGATTCTTTTGATAGCCCATGTATCTGACCGTTTTTACCTGGCATTAAGACCTTACACTTCTACCCTGTGTGTGTGTTCCAGCCATATTTGCATTGTGGTCATAGAGAAATGACTGATAAGAATGTATCTGAGAATTTTGACCACATTTCTTGATAACCTATACAATTTCCATTTCCATCAAGAAATAGATTACTAGATTTTTAGTGAAAATTAAGGTGATGTTTTTATGCAAAAACTTAACATCTTTCTACAACAGTTCTCTTATTTGTGTAGAGGTTGTTTTTATCAGCTTCCAATAGCTGGCTTGAAAGGAAAGAAATTGTTTTGGGTCTGTCTATACTTAGGCTAATGGGAGCTGTCCCAAAGACATTGTATAAAATGAAGCCATTCAAACTTTTAGGAACATAACCCTTTTATTATTGTTCAGCACCTATGACAGTTTCATATCTCTCTAAAGGGAGACAAGGTTGGAGCATTGTTGGCCCTTTTAAAGGAAAAGATAAGTAGGTAGTCACACCCAGAGGTGCTCCTGGAACAACAGTGCCACACTACAGTCTGCTTTATCATCCATTTACAAAGTCTGGAATAATACGTAGCAAAACAAATAAATTACTTTGTCATCTCTAAAATGCAAGTTCAAAGGTTGAAGCTGCCTAGACCAGACTCCTGAATGTCGCCTCCAAAGAAGTGAGCTGTACTTCTCAGCTCCCTTGGCTTTAGCCCCTGCTTTCCACATCTCAGGATTCTAGGTAGTATTTAGTTAGATTTAGGATCTTGTTGCTTGGGTATTTCTGCATCTTCCAAATCCATTTCTGCAGCAACTGACATACACAGGACCTGGAGGTACCATGTGGCAGATGCTACAAAGAAAAAGAATTTTTTGAGTTAAAAGTGGGAAGAGGTCAACTGGGTGAAGTTCAAGTAGCACTTAAGGCATATGGTTAATAACAGGAGGGGGCTATGGCAAAGATGACTTGGGAGTCTAGATTTGCAAAAGAGGCCGAAACCTGGCTATCAAGTAGCTGAGTGACCCAAGGACCCAAGGCTTACCCAAAGTTCTTCGGAGGCAAAGAGGTCGTTTGTCTTCCGGCACTCTGATGATAAGAAAGTAAAAGGGCAAGCCCGAGAGGGCAATGCCAATGCCGATGAGGGAGTTGATTGTATCACTGTAAAGTGGAACAGCCACCAGGAAGACGGTACAGAGGCAGAAGACAATGGGGAAGAAAATGCTGAGCTAGGGGCACAGAAGAAACTAGGAGTTAGCTCAAGATTCTTGACAACCAGTATAACCCACCTCCCAAAAGACCAAAGCACTGAAGGATTAGGGATAAAGCTCAGTAGTGGAACACTTGCCCAGCATGCCCAAGGCCCTGAGTTCAAGTCTCCAGCACTACACAGAGCAGTAAGCCTTCTTTCCATCATCTCAACACAAAACTACCATCAAGTCCCAGGCAAAGGTTTCTGAGTGAACTGTCCTGTAAGAATTCCCTTTGCTGGGTGTGGTGGCACAATCCTATAATTCCACCCACTTGAGAGGCTGTAGCAGGAGGTAAGGAGTTTGAGGCCAGCCTCAGCAACTTAGCAAGACAGTAAATCAAAAAAAAAATTTTTTTAAACAGACTGGGGATATGGCTCAATGGTTAAGCATCCAGTTTAAAAAAAAAAAAAAATCTGGGCATGGTGGTGCACACAACTTGGAAGCCTGCAGCAGGTGGATCACAAGTTGGAGGCCAGCCTGGGAGATTTAGCAAGATCGTGTCTCAAAATACAAAAAGGACCAGAGATAGTAAAGTGCCTCTGGGTTCAATCCCCAAAGAAGGAAAGAAAAATGCTTCAGATAGAGCAGAGGTGGGTTGGAGGTAAGTTACCTTGAGGGGACGAGGTCGATCAGGCTCCTTCCAGCGTAGATAGAGCTGACCCACAATAGAAAGTCCCACAAAGAACCAGTAGCTGAAGCTGTAGTAGTTAATGAGCTGGAAGATGTCCTCTACACACAAGTAGATCAGTGCCATGATACCCTATAAGTGCAAGCCCAAATTAGCTCCAAAGTGCTTTTTCATCCCTGTTGACTCTCAAGTTTTGTCCTTCACTCCTTTTCTGTCAGAAGTTAATAGCTTCAACTGGATTTTCAGTTGGTTGTTCAAACTTCTGCCAAGTTAACCCTCTTTAAACGGGCTGGGGTGGTGGCTCAGTGGCAGAGTGCTCACCTAGCGTGTGTGAGGCACTGGGTTCAATTCTCAGCACCGTGTATAAATTAATTAAATAAAGGTCCACTGACATCTAAAAAAATTTTTTTAAATAAATACATAAATAAAACACAAAACAATCCCTCAATCATTTCATAAAGCCCTCTCCATAATGACCAGCCTTCATTTCCAGCTCTTCTACTACTCAACTCCATACTGATTTACTGCAGGACTTTCTGATGCTATTTCTCTTACAAAACCTATCTCTACTATTTGCAATGCTAACCTTCAAAATCTATTTCAAATACACTTCCTCCAAGTGTCTTTTCAGTCACCCTCTATCCAAGGACCATTTCTTAAACACTACCTGTCATGGCAGTTAATCATTAAATATATTCCTTGTACTTTATGCCTTATCTAAGACTGGAGGTGATTACCATTGCTAAGAGGAGTGATTCTCAGGAATCACTGCAGCAGTTGGCACAGCCTCGCCCATGATGGTAGTCCATCATTCCATCAATACTTTTTCTATCAGAGTCCCCTTTAAGACTTTCAGGAAGCTACAACACTCATATCTACTACTACTAAAACTTCCTGAACAATCTGGCTTTCAGTCTTCTTGGATCACTTACGTTGAAAAGCAGAGAAGGCACTGGCGTGAACCTCTCAACATGAATCATGCAGATGGCATCAGGGAGATGGCCTTCTCTTGAGCCCACAAAGAAAAGCCTATTTAGATAAGTTAGAAGAAAGTGAAAAAACTGTGGGGCGTCGGGGAACAACCTGGTTCACCTGCCACTGCCCTTCCTCTCTGCTATCCCTTCAAAAGGTTCAAATAATACAGAACGGAGTTCACTGTTGAGATTAATGAGAAGTTAAGGCTGCTGATAGGAAGAAGAAAGGTTGAGGAATGCAGGAGGTTAAAGTCCAAGTCCTGTAAGTTGTACAGTCTCCTGACCTAGCTCTTCATAATACGAACCCTCCTAGCAAAAGATGCCACTCTTACCGAGAAGCAGCCACAATGGAGGCATTGAGGCCACCAAAACAGGATAAGGCAACTGCCAGTGGGATTGTCCAGTTAAATATTCCAAAAATCTGGTCTGCAAAAGTCTAAGGGAAAGGAATGGAAAATTGTCATTAGTAGGACGTAAAAGGAATGAAAGGCATCAATAGGCATGCTCCCAGGGATCCAACCCTTCTTCCACATTAAGGGTAACAGTTTCTTCTTACAAGCCCAGAATCCCAATGTACTCCTTTCAAAGCTCTCTCCTTTCCAGGACTGTGAAGAGCTGGGATATACCCCAAAACCCACAACAACTTCTGCTAGTAAAAATCTTTACCACGGCAACAGCATCACTGGCCAAGATGTCTCTCATATTTAGCACGGTGTAATAGGCCACATTGGTCAAGATGTAGATGATGGTGACAAGAGGCATGGAAATGCCAATGGAGAGGGGCAGATTCCTATAGTTAAACAAAAATAAAGTATACATCAGTCCCACAGGTTCATCCTTATCTCTTAATCCTAGACTTTATTGCCATACTCATCTTTCCAAAGATGGAGTCTCCTGCTCAGCATTTGAGGTTGCCTAGAGTACTGGTTAAAGCTGTAAACTTGTAAGAACAAATAAGCTGTGTGTAGTAGTACACACCTGTAATTCTGTCTACTCAGGAGACTGAGGCAGGAGGACCACAAGTTTGAGGTCAGCCTGGACAACTTCTTATCTCAAAAGAAGAAAATGTTTAAAAAGAGGCGAGGAGGTAGCTCCATGATAGAGCACTTGCCTCACATATATGAGGCTCGGGTTCAATCTACAGTACTGGAAGGGAGGGAGGAAGAAAGGGAGGGAGGGAGAGAGGGAGGGAGTAAGGAAGGAAGGGGGTTAGGAGAAAGAAACATCATACCAGGAGAAACAGCTGTGCAAAAAAGGAAAAATCAGGGAAAGGAATTGACAAAGAACTAAGTCACAGCATGACAGCAACACAGGAAGAGGGTAGTGATTTTATTTTTGCTTCCAAAGGTGTTGGTGTCAGTATCCCTTCTCTAAAATTATCACCACAGAGAAGTTTAAATTAAGAAAAATATAAGAAGAAATGGAGGCAAATTGTGAAATCTAACATCTCCAAAGATTAAGATAGGTCTTCAGTAGGAAAAGCAGAATGTATATCTGAGCAAGCAACCTGGGAAATAAATGATTTTTGATCTAAAAATATCCCCAAGGACTCATGTGTTAGTGTTCAGAGGTGAAAAGACTGGATTAGGAGAGCTATAACCTCATCAGTGGATTAATCCATTTGATGCATTAATTATGTGAATGGACTACTAGGTGGTAATTATAGGTCAGTAAGGCATGGCTGGAGAAAGGAGGTCTCTGGGGGTGTACCTCTGGGGACTATATCTTGTCCCTGACTCCTCTTACACACACACACACACACACTGCTTCCCAATTGAGCAGCTTTCTTCTACCATAAAATTCTGGTTCATCTCAGGCCCACAGCAAAGGAGTTGGCCAACTATGGACTGAACCTCTGAAACTGAGCCCAAAATACATTTTTCCCTCCTCTAAACTGCTTCTATTAGGTATTTTGATCATAGCAACAAAAAGCTGACACACACCTTCATCAGTTTGAGAACGTCAGGTACCATCCTAATTGGTCCCCAAGAGAAGCACAAAGACCTGTCAAGATTCCTCTAGCCAAAGAAGCCACGATCTTTATAAACATTCTTGACAGCTAGACTACCAAAAAGAGACAGGGGCAAAAACTCTTAAAGTCACTCAGCTTCTGTCCAGTAGGTGGAAGCACCAACAAGGCCTCAATCCTGCTTCTAATAACTCTGTTCCCAAAGTTGCAACTCCAGATGTATACCAAGATGGCTCTTCGTTTCTCAAAGCCAAAAGGAGTTTATTGGTATGAGAACTTTTATTCTTTTTGAAAATTTACAGAAATCCACTCCCTGTCAAATCTTACTTCTCAGAATCATAATGTTTTAGAGCCAAGAAAGATCCTATAAGATCCCACAGATCCTATAATTTAACCCTCTTAATTACAGATAAAGAAGCATTCAAAGAAAAGGCACAGAAACTCTCTCAAGGTCATCTAACCAATCAGTGATAAGACAAACTCCAGACCCACTGACTCCCTGTCCAATGCTCTTTCCACTTTGCTCAACTACAAAGCTATTTAGAGTAATGTTGGCAAGTGATATAGTTAAATGACTGAAACAATACCTCACTGTTAGCATGAATTAGGGAAACAAGGAATGACCCAGAAAGGAAGCAAAGGAAGATTTCTGGACATCTATGGCCTAAAGTTATCTATGTAGGGATAAAAATGAATAAAAGATTTATCAAGGGAAAAAAAATTTTTTTATCCTTTTTGAGATGGTCTTGCTATGCTTCCCAGGCTGGTCACAAACTCCTAGGCTCAAGCAAACCTTCAGCCTCAGTCTCTTGAGTAGCTAAGACTACAGGCATGCACCACTCCATACCTGGTAAGAAAAATCTACTTTAAAAGCGTACACAAGCCAGGTGTGGTGGTGCACCTATAATCCCACCAGATCAGGAGACTGAGGCAGGGGGATTGCAAGTTCAAAGACAGCCTCAGCAAAAGTGAGGCACTAAACAACTCAGTGAAACCCTGTCTCTAAATAAAAAACAAAATAGGGCTGGGAATGTGGCCCAGTGGTTAATTGCCCCTGAGTTTAATCCCCGTCCCTAACCCCACACCCCAAAAAATGTACATAAGTAATCCCAGTGGTTTGGGTAGGTGAGGCAGGAGAATTGCAGGTTCAAATTCAGACTCAGCAACTTAGTGAGGTCCTAAGCAATTTAGGAAGACCGTGTCTCAAATTTTTTAAAAAGGCAGGGGGCAGTGCTGGCTCAGTGGTTAAGTGCCCTTGAGTTCAATCCCTGGCACTAAAAATTAATAATAAAATAAAAGCATATACAAGCACATAGTACAATCTGCTTTAATTAATAGAGGAATAAATGAAAAATGTAAAAAAGCCCTTTAAAAAAGAATTTAAAGTTCTTCTGGGGACAGCATTTGGAGGCACTCAAAATGGTCCAGAGTTTGACATTCTATCGTAGGCTTTCCTACAATACAGCTTCTTATAAAACTAGGCTATCCTGAACCCCTGGCAATAGAATCATTTACACAGAGATGGTTGGGAAAGCACCAAAATCTGCATGTGCTGTGTTCCCAGGCATACTTCAAGGGGTTTGTGCTGTGAGACCTAAAGTTCTTTTTTTTTTTTTTTTCCTTTTTGGTACCAGGGATTGAATTCAGGGGCGCTTAACCACTGAGCTACATCTGCAGCCCATTTTTTGTATTTTATTTAGAGACAGGATCTCACTGAGTTGCTTCGGGCCTTGCTAAATTGCTGAGGCTAGCTTTGAACTAGCAATCCTTCTGCATCAGTCTCCTGAGCCTCTGGGATAACAGGTGTCGTGCCACTGCACCCAGCAAGACCTAAAGTTCTTATGAGATGTGTAAAACAAAACAAAAAAAATAATGTGTCAAGCTGAGCGTGGTGGCATATACCTGTAATTCCAGCAGCTTGGGAGGCTGAGACAGGAGGATTGTGAATCCAAAGACAGCCCCAAGCAATGGCCAGGCACTAAGCAACTCAGTGAGACCCTGTCTCTAAATAAAATAGAAAACAGGGCTAGGGATGTGACCAAGTGGTTGAGTGGTTCTGAGTACAATCCCCAGTGCTCCCCCCACAAAAAAAAAAAAAAAAGGCAGAGAAAAAATCATGTTACCAGGGCCTATGGTGGTTCCATAAGTGCTAAATGTGTCTGTGACAGGATCAAGTGTGCTTTCCTTATTAAGGAACAGGAAATCATGAAAGTGTTGAAGGCACAAGCACAGAGTCAGAAAGCTAAATTTTAAAAACGAAGCTTCTTTGAATAATAAAAAAAAGAATTTAAAAGCATACTTGAGTTCATATCTTAGCTCTGTTAGTGGGATCATGGACAAGTTATATTCTGGGGCCTCTGACCTCCCATCTATTAAATTAGGGTTGATGGAATTCACTCAGAGGCAGTTATGGCATATAGTCTTGCATAGTAAGAGCTCAATGAATGATGGGTATCAGGGTTGTGGAAAGTTGGTGGTGAGGTACCTACCTCTCAGGATTCTTGAGCTCTTCAGTGACATAGTTGAGGGTATCCCAGCCTGAGTAGGAGAACAGAGCTGAGTACAGTGCCAGGGCAATGTCACCCATTACAAATGATGAACCCTTAAAGGAATTCTCCAAGTTAGTCGTGGCTCCTGGAATCCAAGAACAATGGAAAGCAGAAGTATTAGTGGCCCACTCCCCTAATCTCAAGATGATCCAATAAAGTATTGAAAAATATGGCAGTAAGAGCAGGTAAGTGACTCAGAACATCTTTGGCAGCAACGGTATCAGTGAAGGACAGAGAACAGAAGACAGACATCTATAGAGATGATGGAATGCAGAGAATGACATGGATGGGGATCTTGACAGAAGAGCTCAGCTTTCAAGGATAAGAAACCAGCATGTAGCAGAAGGGGTAGAGAACAGGAATGGTGTCCTGTTTCTCTCTGCTCTATAGTCTGCCTGATTCTTATCCCCTTTCTGACACCAGACACAGCTGACATGAGGTAGAAGGACAGGGCTCCATATGCCCAAGTCAACAGACTAGTTGTAGGGTGGGTTTCTACCTGGAAACTAGAGAAGTGGGTATAAGAAGTTCATTGTTGACCTTGCCCACTTTCAAGGGCAGAACCATCAAATCAACAGCACTAGGTTCAAAAACCACAAAAGCCAACTCCCAGAGTATGGCTGTCAGTCCTTTTGCCAAGATCAGTCTCATCTGGGTGTGGTGGCATATGCCTATAAAATAAACATGTCAGCAGGTCCTATGGTGGTACCATATGTGCTAGAACTAGCATGCATAGAACTTAAAAGAACAGGCTTTGGAGTTCGCTGCCTGAGTACATATTTTAGCTCTCCTACTTACCACTATGAACTTGGGCAAATTTTTATAGCATATTTCTTCATCTATAAAAAGGGAATAATAACAGTGCCTACCAAACAAGGTTATTGGAGATTTAAGTGAGATAATATACAAAGTATATATTAAGAAGAGTATGTCTCATAGAAAATACTTAACAAATATTAGCTGCTATTATTTCTTACCCTGGCCAAGTTTAACAATGCCTGCAATGATGACCGCAATCAGTGCTGATACTTTAGCATAGGTGAAAATATCTTGTACCAGGGTTCCCCACTTGACATAGGCACAGTTAACGAAGGTTAAGAGACCTGAAAGAAAAATAATACTGATTGGTGACTAACCCTTCACACCCAGACTCCTAAGCAATTTTTCTAGTAATAGTTTCTAAAAAGGCCCGTTTCACAAAGAAAGTATTTGTGTTTAGGCTTTTACTTGCTTTGCATAAGAAACTTTGGTCCCAGAATGTCCATACTATTATCATTCAAAGACATCTGCTGAGCACCTGTGTACACAGCACCACCATGATCCCTACCCCAGCACCTTATACAGGAGACAGAAACAAAGTAATCTCAGATTTGCTTACATACAAAAGTACACCCAGGGGCCTGGGTTGTGGCTCAGCTTGCCTAGCATGAGTGAGGCACTGGGTTCGATCCCCAGCACCACATAAAAATAACAACAAATAAAATAAAGTTAAAAAAAAAAAAAGTACACCCAAACTGGATGCAGTGGGAGACAACTGGTAGCTATACAGGATTAGTGTGTTCTGACTGTTGGCTCTGAGAAGTCACTGTCTTTCCCTCCTACCCACCCTGCCACACACACACATAGGCTTTAGGACCCAGCACTTTGTCTCATTAGTATTACTGTTAACCTTGCCCAGTCCTGTTATAACTTCATTGTCTGGTCCAGCAGGTCAGAATGTGTGGCCAAGGATTGGGAGGGAGGCCAGACTTCCTGCCCACTGCCTGCCAGATCAGCTGCTTGTTTTTATGCCTGAAAATATTCTTGCAGCAAAGAGCGGTTCCTATAGAATGGGGACAGAGCATTTTTCCTAATGGACAATGCAGAAGTAAGAGCTATAACATTCCTCATAATCCATCTATCCTGAGGTAGAGGTAATTACTTTACCCAGATAAGCTTAGGTAAAGTTTATGCATTATTCTTAAAGAGCCAAGTTTCTGAACTGGTCTCCATAAGATCTCAAATTATTTTGCAAAGTGTCATGTTTGTATGAGTATATACATTTTTATAGGAAAAGAGCCGATAGCTTTTATCAGAATCTCAGAGAAGATACAGCGGTTGTATCTCAGTGGCAGCACATGTGCTTAGCATGCACCTGGCTGTGGGTTCAATCCACAGCACCAATAATAATAATAACAATAATCTTAGAGAAATCTATTAACCTCCCCATTCTCCCCCCCCCCAAAAAAAAAAAAAGTTAAGAAGGAAAGCCCACATATGCTATGAAGTTGGCCAC